GCCACTGGGGGACTGCCTGGCTGGGTTCCACTGGGGGGACTGCCTGGGTGCGTCCCACTGGGGGGACTGCCTGGTGTGTACCACTGGGGGACTGCCTGGGTGCCACTGGGGGGACTGCCTGGGTGGGTGCCACTGGGGGGACTGCCTCGGTGGGTGCCAGGGGGGACTGCCTGGGTGGGTGCCACTGGGGGGACTGCCTGGGTGGGTGCCACTGGGGGACTGCCTGGGTGCGTCCCACTGGTGGGACTGCCTGGGTGGGTGCCACTGGTGGGACTGCCTGGGTGGGTGCCAGTGTGGGGACTGCCTGGATGGGTGCCACTGGTGGGGCCTGCCTAGGTGGGTGCCACTGGGGGGACTGCCTGGGTGGGTGCCACTGGGGGGACTGCCTGGGTGGGTGCCACTGGTGGGACTACCTGGGTGGGTGCCACTGGGGGGACTGCCTGGGTGGGTGCCACTGGGGGGACTGCCTGGTGGGTGGTGGGACTACCTGGGTGGGTGCCACTGGGGGGACTGCCTGGGGTGGGTGCCACTGGGGGACTGCCCTGGGTGCCACTGGGGGGACTGCCTGGCTGGGTGCCACTGGGGGGACTGCCTGGCTGGGTGCCACTGGGGGACTGCCTGGCTGGGTTTCACTGGGGGGACTGCTTGGTGCGTCCCACTGGGGGGACTGCCTGGGTGGGTGCCACTGGGGGACTGCGTGGTTGGTGCCACTGGGGAGACTGCCTGGGTGGATGCCACTGGGGGACTGCCTGCTGGGTTCCACTGGGGGGACTGCCTGGGTGCGTCCCACTGGGGGACTGCCTGGGTGTGTACCACTGGGGGGACTGCCTGGGTGGGTGGGGGGACTGCCTGGGGTGGGTGCCACTGCCTGGGTGGGTGCCACTGGGGGGGACTGCCTGGGTGGGGTGCCACTGGGGGACTGCCTGGGTGGGTGCCACTGGGGGGACTGCTGGGTGGTCCCACTGGGGGGACTGCCTGGGTGGGTGCCACTGGTGGGACTGCCTGGGTGGGTGCCAGTGTGGGGACTGCCTGGATGGGTGCCACTGGTGGGCCTGCCTAGGTGGGTGCCACTGGGGGGACTGCTGGGTGGGTGCCACTGGGGGGACTGCCTGGGTGGGTGCCACTGGGGGGACTGCCTGGTGGGTGCCACTGGGGAACTGCCTGGGTGGTGCCACTGGGGGAATGCCTGGTGGGTGCCACTGGTGGGACTGCCTGGGTGGGTGCCACTGTGGGGGACTGCCTGGGTGCCACTGGGGGACTGCCTGGGTGGGTGCCACTGGGGGGGACTGCCTGGGGTGCACTGGGGGACTGCCTGGGTGGGTGCCACTGGTGGGCCTGGGTGGGTGCCACTGGTGGGACTACCTGGGTGGGTGCCACTGCCTGTGGTGCCATGGTGGACTGCTGGTGGGTGCCACTGGGGGACTGCCTGGATGGGTGGGGGACTGCCTGGGTGGGTGCACTGGGGGACTGCTGGGTGGTGCCACTGGGGGGGACTGCCTGGGGTGCCACTGGGGACTGCCTCGATGGGTGCCACTGGGGACTGGTGGTTGGGTGCCACTGGGGGTGCCCACTGGGGGACTGCCTGGGTGGGTGCCACTGGGGGACTGCCTGGGTGGTGCCACTGGGACTCTGGGTGCCCTGGGTGGGTGCCACTGGGGACTGCCTGGTGGGTGCCACTGGGGGACTGCCTGGGTGGTGCCACTGGGGGCTGGGTGGTGCACTGGGGGGACTGCCTGGGTGGGTGCCACTGGGACTGCCGGGTGCACTGGTGGGCTGCCACTGGGGGACTGCCTGGGGTGGGTGCCACTGGGGGGACTGCCTGGGTGGGTGCCACTGGGGGACTGCCTGTGGGTGCCACTGGGGGGACTGCCTGGGTGGGTGCCACTGGGGGGACTACTGGGTGGGTGCCACTGGGGGACTGCCTGTGGGTGCCACTGGGGGACTGCCTGGTGGTGCCACTGGTGGACTGGGTGGGTGCCACTGGGGGACTGCCTGGGTGGGTGCCACTGGGGGGACTGCCTGGGTGGGTGCCACTGGGGGGACTGCCTGGGGGGGACTGCCTGGTGGGTGCCACTGGGGACTGCCGGGTGCCACTGGGGACTGCCGTCTGGTGGGACTGCCTCGATGGGTGCCACTGGAAGGGACTGCCTCGGTGGGTGCCACTTGCGTAGTTGGGTGCACTGGTGGACTGCCTGGGTGGTGCCACTGGGGGACTGCCTGGTGGTGCCACTGGGGTGACTGCCTGGCTGGTGGGTACCACTGGGGGGACTGCCTGGATGGTGCCACTGGGGACTGCCTGGTGGTGCCACTGGGGGGAATTGGTGCCTGGGGGGACTGCCCATTGGTGGGGACTGCCTATGTGGGTGCCACGGGGAGGGACTGCCTCGGTGGGTGCCACTGGAAGGAACTGCGTGGTGGGTGACTGGTGGGACTGCCTGGGTGGGTGCCACTGGGGGACTGCCTGGTGGGTGCCACTGGGGGGACTGCCTCGGTGGGTGCCACTGGTGGGACTGCCTGGGTGGGTGCCACTGGGGGGCTGCCTGTGGGTGCCACTGGGGGGCTGCCTGGGTGGGTGCCACTGGGTGGGTGCCACTGGGGGGACTGCCTGGGTGGGTGCCACTGGGGGGGACTGCCTGGGTGGGTGCTACTGGGGGGATGCCTGGGTAGGCGCCACTGGGGGACTGCCTGGGTGGGGGCCACTGGAAGGGACTGCCTAGGTGGGTGCCACTGGAAGAGACTGCGTGGTTGGGTGCCAGTGTGGGGACTGCCTCGGCGGCGGCTGATCAGCGGGAAGAGGAGCTGGCCTCCAAGTCGGAGAAGCCGGCCGCCTGTTAATAATTCGTCCTTCAGAAGTTATGCAAATAGATGCAATAGCATCTCCAAGTACTCATGATACTTGGATTATTATATTTTTCTTTTTTCTGGGAATAAGTTATATTAGATCTATAACGATATTACACTGTTACCGTTACATTTATGGAATATGTTTGAATCTAAGGCTGGTAGATCGCATCAGGATTACTGTAGAAAAGGTAGATCATATCTCACAAAAGGTTGGCCACCCCCGTTGTATAGGGTGTATGTGTAAATGTCTATTATATGTGTGGCAACAGTAGAAAGAGAGAGGCGACGCTTATGTTTAAACACATGTGAAGGAGGGGAGGCCTGTGGTCGACATGGCACGAAGGATAACAGTTTGACTTGGCGGGCAGGGGTCCCTCGGGTGCTGTGAAAGGGAACCGTCTTTGTACATATGGGTAACATAAGTCTTACAGTATGTTTGTGTGTGTGTGTGTGTGTCGTGTGTCGTGTGTGTGTGTGTGTTTATTTTCTGTGTCTGTGTCTGTGTTTGTGTTTGTGTGTGTATGCATTCTTATATGTGCGGGTGTTTTGGTCTGTATATATGTATGTGTAGAAAGATTTGATGACCTCATATATATGTAATGATAATGTTGATCATATGATATGAAGAATAATGATAATGAAAGCAATAATAAGAAGAAAACAGATAATAATCATTTATAGCTTTATCATTATGTATGTATGTGTAGAAAGATTTGATGACCTCATATATATATGTAATGATAATGTTGATCATATGATATTAAGAATAATGATAATGAAAGCAATAATAATGAGAAAACTGCTTATAATCATTTCTAGCATTATCATTATTTTCACTTTCATCATTATGATGATCAGGAGGCACAGCTGACGCGTTTCAATTAATCTTTTATCAGAATTGTCATCAGCAGATAGACCATCGTATCCATCACCAGGACCGGGGAACATGGAGCTAGGATGTCTCAACGCCTTTATGATTCCCGAAAGACATGCTGGATATCAACGGAAGCGAGTGATATCGATACAGGAATGATAATAATAAAAAAAATAAAAATGAAAATGCATATATTGCGATGGATTACTTGAGCATCAGGTAATCTTGTTGATGTATGAGATTATTACGAATTTTCAATTGAAATAGTTCCGTCTCATGCGTTTTTTTCATTCTGATACATCTCATTACATTATATTAATATTCTTAAAAAAAAAATGGAGAGCAATATTGCATTACGCAAACAAATACAAATTGTTAATACTGTTACCTCAGTCAAGGTTATGCTTTCGTTAGAGTTGGTTAGCTTGTTTGTTGGTTGGTTGGTTTGCGAAAAGTTATGAACAAATTTCTATTACATGTTTACCAAAGGTGTATCTTAGCCTAAGTTAGATGCCATTTTGTTGGTGATCCGGATCGTGATCGGGATCTAGGAACTTTTTAGATGACTGCATCCCTGTTGCCTAGTAATAATAATAATAGTTACCCCAATAATAATAATAATGGTTAACGCTAGAATAATAATAACAGCTGCCCCCATATTGATAATAATAGTTAACGCTAAAATAATAATAATAGCTACCCCTATATTGATAATGATAGTGAAACGCCAAGGCAATAGGGGTAATTCCTATTAATATCATCACCTTTCTCATCTCCGCAAATCTTTACGGACGTTACCAGTGTACTTGAGATAGAGGTGATTTTAATGTAATTCTTTAAGTGTGAATATTTTCATTGCATCAGTGAGCCTATGGCCTTGGCGGAGGTATGCGTGCTTCTAATTATCATCATTATTATCATCATCATCATCATCATCATCATCATCATCATCATCATCATCATCATCATCATCATCATCATCATCATCATCATCATCATCATCATCATCATCATCAAGATCATTATTATTATTATTATTATTATTATTATCATTATATTCATTACTACTAATAATAATAATACTATTATCATTATTATAACTACCATTATTATTGTTGTAGATGTTTCTGTTGTTAATATCATTAGTTGCTGGTGGTGTCACTGCTGTTGTTCTCATTATTATTACCATAACCATTATCATTATACTCTATTATCATTATCACCAACATTGCCATCGTCATTACTAAAGGACTGTCTTAGATACATCTAGCCTCGTCGGCACACTGGTCAGTGACGTCACTACATTTTAAGGAGAAACAGATGAGTCTCCCCTTAGGCTTGGGTCGGACAGGTCTGATTAGCCAGTTCCTCTGGACACTGATATTCACTGTTATCTGTGTGGCACATGACTCGTCCCAGAAAATAGCGCGTTAAAAATGTATAAAAGTTTAAAAGCAGGGAACCAATTTTTTTCAGTATACAATTTTACTGCAAATAATTTTCAGAAACGTTTGGACATGGGTAAGCTACCTTCAACTACAGCACTACCTAGAACTGGAGATGTAATATAAATGATGCAATCTCCCTACAATTCTGCACAAAGTTTCGGGCAAAAGAAAGAAAAGAGAGAGAGAAAAAAAAAAAAACGTGTATTAAATTCAAACCTTCATCCCAGAATCAACACCACTAACATGAAAGGGAAAATACAACCTACTCACATGCGCAGAAGCAAAGAAAGAAAAAATGACAAAAATGACACCAAGCACCCTCTGCGCGGAGATGAAAGAGATGTTTCTTCTGCACCAAAATTCCCAGTCCATTAGGCAAGGGCACTCGGTCAGTCCCTGCACTTGCAACGTTGCATTAGCGCGGAGAGACTTCTGTATTTACCCCCACGCAGCCGACGTCCACGTGAGGATGTTGGTCATACACAACATATGTTTGGGTGTTAGTGGTAATAGTGCTTAGGTTTTAATAGTTATGGAAATGATGGATGTGTGGTGATGATGATGATGATGATAGTGATGATGATGGGGATGATGATAATGGTGATGGTATGGCGATGATGATGGTGGTGGTGAGGATGATGGTTTATGATGATGGTGATGATGATGGTGATGATATGGTGATGATGATGGTGATGGTGTGGTGATGATGAACAAATATGTAATAATACTAGAGTTAATGAGAATTAATGGTTATGACCAGAAGAACAATAAGAGTAGTAGTGATATTAATATTTATAACGAAAACAAAATAAATTATGACTACAATGGTTATGATGATAATAACAGCAACAAAAGCAACAGTAGTGATAATGTAAATAATGACAATAAAAATATTGACGCTAATAATAGTAACTATTGATAACAGATTTGTAATGATAATGGCATTGGAAATATTAATGATTATTCATAATGTTAACGACAATGATAACGGCAATTATGTTGATAATGCTAAGGAAACAAGCAATAGCAATTATAATATGAATCTTTTAAAAATAAAGGATGATAAAATTGTTTCAAACTATTTCATACCTCTATAATTAAAGGTACTGACTAGAAGCATTTACTAATTGATCTTTACAGCGAAGATCAAGGCCCTTGTATTAGGATTATAGAAAAAAATTAAATTCAAGATTTTTACATTCTAGAGGAGTAGAAATTTCTAAACATTTTTTTGGCAACTGTTCATTTCCAAATGGCAACATGCAACCAGCCTGGTTGTGTGTGTGTGTGTGTGCATATATATATATATATATATATATATATATATATATATATATATATATATATATATATATATATATATATATATATATATATATATATATATATATATATATATATATATATATATATATATTATATATATATATATATATATATATATATATATATATATATATATATATATATATATATATATATATATATATATATATATATATATATATATATATTATATATATATATATATATATATCTTTTTCATCCATAAATTATAAAAAGACGGGTTAAGAGAAAGAGAGTAAGAGAGAGAGAGAGAGAGATTTCATTCATGTGTCTGACACAAAGAGAAACACAGAGAGGGAGAGAGATAATGAAAAGAAACAGCAGATAGAGAGAAAGAGAGAGAGAGAGAGAGAGAGAGAGAGAGAGAGAGAGAGAGAGAGAGAGAGAGAGAGAGAGAGAGAGAGAGAGAGAGAGAGAGAGAGAGAGAGAATACGAGAGACAACCACAGAGAAGAAAGAGCGAAGAGCCAAATCGGTAAAGAGAAACGGCCCTTTCACATTCCCAGCAGCGGTCAATCTATCTCGTTTTTATCTGGCTTTTACAACACGGAGGAGATAACGCCCGGAGCATCTGCAGCATCCTAATCTCTCCAGTTATGCCTCTTGCTTTGGCCACAGTGCCTTCGGATGATTCAGTATTGCGATCTTACTCTTAGATATGGGAAATAGTGAGAGAGAGGGAGGGAGGGAAGGAGAAAGGAAGGAGCGAGAAAAAGAGGGAGGAGAAAGGGAGGTGAGAGAGAGGGAGGGAGGAAGGAAAAAGGAAGAAGCGAGAGAGAGAGGGAGAGGGAAAGAGAGAGAGGAGGAGAGGGAAGGAGAAAGGGGAAGTGAGAGAGTGGGAGAGGAAAGAGAAAGGGAAGAAGCGAGCGAGAGAGGAGAGGGAAGGAGAAATGGGAAGTGAGAGAGAGGGAGAGGAAAGGGAAAGGGTGAGAGAGAGATGGGCGGAGAGGGAAGGAGAAGGGAAAGAGTGAGAGAGAGAGGAAGAGGG